TTTTATTAACCCCTTAACTGCCGAGTAAAATTAACGTGATTCACTCCCCAGTGCCACCGTTTTTCGCTCAAGTGCACTTTCTTACACGGTGTTTTGAGTGGGAAAAATGATGCACGCTTTGCAATTTAAAAACAGTTTAATTTTACAAGAAAAAGGAAAGAAAGAAAATACAAAATTTAAATTAAATAATAAAAATACAATATAAAAGATGTTAAAACTTAGCTGTTGTATGATAAATCCTGAAACATGGTTGGACACATAAACCAACATCACATTCATCGCACTGATAGCGGGATTCACGAAGAATTTTTTTTCGTGAACAAACAGCACATTTTGGCGATGCATTTTTCTTTGAAGACATTGATGGAAAGAATAAAAAGCACCAAATACATACGGGAAACAAAAGTGAAAAAAGAATAAACCCGACCTTACTCAAATAAATACACACAAGCGATTAATACGATATCACTTTTACATAACATCCTTTTCCCCCTCCTCCGAAATTAGCAATACATTCGCAAAGCAAACACTTTCAAGGCCAATTTACTGCATTCTGAAGAAGGGGGTGTAGTTCTATTTATAGCAGCGCAATGCAAACCATCGTACTTCGGGAAAGCGTATATATACGCCCGTGGTAGTTAAGGGGTTTTCAATATCTTTTTATAAAATTGCCTGTGTATAAACATTACATTGGCTAGTTCTTTATAATATCCCAATTGATGTGTTATTGATTAAAAAAATGAGGACTTAAATGCTAACTCATTTTTTCGCTTTGATTCATTTTATGCATAGCTTTTTACATTATTTGTTATAATTACTTGTATGGAGCTAGTATATTATGCAAATTGTATAACTTTCTGTTGAAATTGTAAACTTAAGAAAATGTATAAAACATTTTTTTAAAAAAATTTTATTTCACTAGGTTCATCCTGAAGGCAAATTTGTTGTTGATATTGATAAAAATATTGATATTAATGATGTTACACCTAACAGCAGAGTTGCTCTAAGAAACGACAGTTACACTTTGCATAAAATTCTCCCAAACAAGGTAAAGTGACTTCCGTAAATTATTATTCTTAATAAGATGTCTAAATATTATACAGGATCTCAGTGCAATATCTGCTATTCTATTAGATTCAGTGTGAAAATTATTTTTGTGTATTTGTATTATTTTTAATAATTATTACAGTGTATCATACTGTTATGTTTAAAAGAATTGTATATTTTATATGGAAATTCCACAACAAAGCTGCTTTGAATCATGAAAGATTTGAACCGAATGTATTAAAACAGTTGCAATCAATTTAGTGCTATTGAAAACATAGCGTATTTTTGCTCTGAATTAATTTTATGCAGCAATTTTCTTGTCTATATGCCCCCACTAGTTATAAACTATAGTAATAGATTTAAAATAGCGTTATAAATAGTGTTCAGACCAATATAGAGACACTGCGATGATTGCCGCCATATGTTCTACAAATGTAACTGAAATCAAATGCATCGAGTACTAAATTTTCACATTGAAACATGTATGTTTTGAATTTACAAAATAATAAGGAAAGATATTTTTTTTGCATTGAATTCCATGAATTTAAGAAAATTTGTTATACTAATTATATTATTCTATGTGTGGTATGGAATTCAAATGGAGAAATAATTTTAAATTTAAATGTTGTAATTTCAACTTTACAAGCTGTATTGTGCTTTGCATTCATGTACTGGCATAATTGTTCATCAATAAAATATTTTTTATTCTATTAGAATTGACTTAATTTAAAATGTTATATTTTTAGATAATTGATTTTTAATATATTTTGTTAGTTCTATGTTGAATCTATTTACTAACATTATTTTAGCTTTTTTTCCATTTAATTTTTGTAAATATTAATCTTTAATGAACCCAATTAGTTATAGTGTGTTATAGATGACAATTAATAATTTTTGATGTGTACCATAACATAAATTTTGTAACGTTAATGTATTTCTTATTATTATTAATCAGAACTGTAAGCTGTACACATTTTTGTTTTTTGTAAAATAAACTGAATTTTTAAGAAAAAAATAAACAATGTAAGTTTTAAAATTTTCTCTTAAATGCATATTAATTCATTACAATGCATATAAAAAAATGTTTGAATAATTTTTCTTTTCTTTTTGAATTTAACTCGAATTATCAGGAAAGTGAGTTATCTGGAGAGTGACCACTCTGAAATAACCTATTTACCAGGATTGGTGAATAAGAACAAGCCGTCTAGTAATAAAAGTATTTTAAATTGGGAGGAGGGTTGTTATGCTCTAATAAAATGAAACATATCAGCACTTTTTTTTTTTAAATAAGCTAATTATTTTACTTCAATAGCTTGTATGCTGTGCTCGAAAGCTTATAACATATCCCTCTGAATGCAGATCATGTGTTTATTTTAATTTGAAATACAATAGCTTTAATATTTTTTTAGGTGGATCCTTTGGTTAGTTTAATGATGGTTGAAAAAGTTCCTGACTCTACATATGAAATGGTTGGAGGTCTGGATAAACAAATAAAAGAAATTAAAGAGGTCATTGAGCTTCCCGTCAAACATCCAGAGCTTTTTGAAGCCCTTGGAATTGCTCAACCTAAAGTAGGTTTGGCTCACTATGTTGTGTATTAGTAAATTTTTTAATTAGTAAGATGATGTGTAATTTGTTAGTTACATTTTAATTGTTTTTTTTTCGCTGAAGTATTTAAAATTAAAACATTTTAAATGTTGATCTTTCATAACCCTTGACCTTTATTAAGTAAAGCTATGTGTTATAGTAAATAACCTTACCTTAAAAATTTATTTTGTATATTATAAAAAAATCTTTGTATATACTTTGCGAAAGAATTAATGTTTTTTTTTACAATTGAAATTTTATTGTTATAAAAATAATTATTAGAGTCGTAAGGTGGATAAATAGTGTGTTTAATTTCATGTTTCCAGGGTGTGTTGTTATATGGACCTCCTGGTACAGGAAAAACATTGCTTGCCAGGGCTGTTGCTCACCATACAGACTNGATTTGGCTACTCACCCTGATATACTTTGCGAAAGAATTAATGTTTTTTTATAATTGAAAATATATTGTAATAAAAATAATTATTAGAGTCATAAGGTGGATAAATAGTGTGTTTAATTTCATGTTTCCAGGGTGTGTTGTTATATGGACCTCCTGGTACAGGAAAAACATTGCTTGCCAGGGCTGTTGCTCACCATACAGACTGCACATTTATTAGAGTTTCTGGATCTGAGTTAGTACAAAAGTTCATTGGTGAAGGGTCAAGAATGGTCAGAGAACTTTTCGTTATGGCAAGGTAAGTTTATACTAAAAATAAGTTTTTATGTTGAGTTTATGTACTTTTACACATTGTTTAATGGTTTTCTTTTGATATCAATATCTTCTATTACTTAATTATGTTGTAAAAAAAAAAGTTCCTGGTTAAAAACTCACGAAATTTAACTTAGTTAAACACCGAAAAAGGTTTAAAAAATTATATTTAAAATATATGTCACTGCTTGTGATATGTATGTTGCTATTTATAATAGTCGAAAGCCGTTAATGTGCACATTACCTAGCTAATCTTCAAATTAACTGATTTGTTCTGTTAAATTAATTTAAATATCAAAAAATAAATAAACGAAATGTCATGTTAATTTCTTTGACTATAGTAATATTTTAAACTATTGGATTCTTGGTGTTATAGTTTTTAGAGTGATTGATTCTACAAACTTATTTAATGATTGTAATGGAGATAGTTTTATATATCAAAAATAAATAACATGATATATCAAAAATAAATAACATTATGTTAATTTAAGTACACAGAAGCATCACTGTTATTCCAGTAAAGAATTAATTTTTTTTCGATGAGTTCTTAATGGGTAATGTGCAGATTATCTAACTAGTTAGATGACCTAAAAATTGGAGTAATTAAAAAAAATTTTTGGCACTATAAAGTATTACCCTAGTTCAGTAATTCCCAAAGTGGTCTATATAGACCCCCAGGGGTCGACGACAACCTGCAAGGGGTCCATGTTAAGTGGGGGAAAAAATTTGGAGTCCATGAAATGAAAATGGGGGTCAACGATAGTTGATCTCATATAAGCAGATCGTGACTTTTAATTTTGGCATTTCATGAATGGAATAATCAACATACACTGATGGTACCAATTTACTTACATTATACTACCTTATAATATAATAATATAAAGACATATCTATCTACATTCTACATAATTTATAGAAGTAGCTATGAAGTAAAAATTTTATTAAAATGTAAGTTATTAGGATTATTTTTTGATATATGAAAGTGAATTATTATAAACTAGCAGTTGCCTGCAGCTCCGCCCACATACGTTTTTATTTTCTCTGCTTGTAAGGTTTTATTTTTTAACAAAATTGTATTTTTCAGCGGTAAATTGTAGCCTAGCCTGTCTCAACTCTGTAGCTAGCTAGACCTCCAATTTTATCTGCGCAGAAGATCACAGAGATTTGTTGCTCAGTTTTTACGTGAAAACGTAATAAACTGACCAACAATTCACTACTCTACTATGGTTTTGTATACAAGCTTATTTCCACAATTATAATATTAGTAGCGGAGTACGGGTTTTATAGTGTACTATTTTATTTCATTTACATATTAATTAAATTAAATTAGTTTGAATTTAATTAATAAATGTATAAAATTAACATGTTTTTTTCTTAAGTTTTTCACACTACACTACACTTCACTGCAGTTAGAAATTTAAATCTTTCACAGTGAATAGCGCTATACCAGCTGTCAAAAATACATTTGAAGTTGATGAATTTACAAAAAATCAATATCAAAACCGAAAAACATGGCAAGGGGTCTAGAAGACAAAAAAGTTCAGGAACCACTGCCCTATTTGATCTGTGAATTAGTTAAATAATCTTTCGACTGATTTCTGCTCCTTGGTAGTAACATATATTTGTTTTTGCTGTTAATCATAGTAAAATGTTTTATTATGTAAATAACATAACCGTGCATTGATACATATGCTGCATCTTTATGTTAAATATTATTGTAATTTATTATGATGTTTTTCTTTAACATTTTGTCTCGTTTTTAGAGAGCATGCACCATCTATTATTTTTATGGATGAAATTGATTCAATAGGATCATCAAGAATTGACGCTGGTTCTGGTGGGGACAGTGAAGTTCAGAGAACAATGCTTGAACTTTTAAACCAGCTAGATGGATTCGAAGCAACTAAAAATATTAAAGTTAGTTTTCTTTTCTAATATTACCTGAATGTTTTTTATTTGATGTTTTAGTGTTTGAAAAGTGCGAGAAAATAAAATGACTCTCTTAAATCCTTTAGAACTACTTTCATGAGACTATTGTTTCTTTAACTGAGATTTTGAAATACGTTTAATGCAGGATCTATTTATACAACTTATAAGCCTTGATTGCTACCATCAAGGTTATGGCTCTGGTATGACCAAAAATGTAATAAATATTGACTGAAGACGAGTCAACAAAAACGGCTTGACTCTGGATAATTAAAAATCCTAAGTTTAAAAAAATTTATTTGAAGTATGAAAACTATGTAACCAAACATTATTAATTAATTGAAGAATTTAAAAAAATATTTAACTCTTTATTTCAGAATTTCCACTCAAAGAAAACTTATATTTGCCTGGAAATTTGATTTTGGCAGGAGAAAAAAAATGTGTCTAAATAACTTTTTTTCTTTTTAAAATCCCAAAACATCCTTTAATATCTCTAGAAAAGATCAATTTTGAACTGGCCGTTTGCCTGTGGGGTTCAAACTAATATTAGTTGCATTTATTTCTGATGAAAAATTAGTTAAGTAAATATTAGAATATGTAAAAAAGGAAGAAAAAAATTTATTTCAATTTTCTACGAATTAGTTTTATTGATTTAAAATTTTTTTTTTTAAAAATATGCCCAATAACTTTAAAAAAATTATATTTAAAAAAAGGAAAATATGGCATTTTGAGAAATTAGTGTGTTTGAAAGAATATTACCTAGAATTGTATTGATATTTTCTTGGGAAACCTGGAAAAATTATGGGAATTTTTTTTCTTCTGAAATTGAGTCGTAATCCTGTTTAAATATTTTTAAAAGCATTTCATTTATGAATCATTTTTCTTTTCTTTAAAATTATATTTTTTTCTGTGTTTTATTTCTATTTTTAACTTATTTTATGGGTTCCCATGCCTTCCAAGTCTCCTGTTTTTTAACGAAAACTCCTGTATTTTACCACTATCTCCTGTTTTCCCATATATTCTCAAATTTCTCCGTATTTAGTGAAATTTAAAAAGAAATCTTCCCTTATTTCTCAACAGATAGTGCTATAGCAAGCACTGCAGTCTATTGAGTGTTAATAGTTTAAGTAATTATAAATAATGGTTTAAAAAAATACTTTTTAGATTAAGATACCTATACATATTTTTTACTTTGTCAAATGGCTTATATTATTTCCAATTTTGAAATTCTCTTTTTGGCTTACATGATTATATATGATGTATCAAAACTTTACTCGTAGTCTAAAAAGTATCACTAGCAAAATCTCCGTTATTTTATTTCTCCAATGTTGGCAGGTATGGGTTCCATGTATTTGCAGCTTATGCACTGTAAATAAAACTTATTATTTATTCTTAAATTTCTTTGTTAATCTCTTTTCTTTATTCTTTCGTCTCTTTTTTGTGTATTTAATATATAATCATTAATGCCGGAATTGTATGCCTATTTTAAAAGTAGATGCTCTATAACTCATTTAATATTGCAGGTTATCATGGCCACAAATAGGATTGATATACTTGATCCTGCTCTTCTTAGACCAGGACGTATCGACAGAAAAATTGAATTTCCTCCTCCGAATGAAGAGGTAACTTCTTTTGATAATCTACAGGGAAAATGTGTTACTTCTGTCAGTTATAAAAACAATATTTAAAATTAAATATTAGAATTATAACAGTTATCTTGCTGAAAAATTAAACTTCTCCAAGAATATTACCTGCAAGTGCTTAAACACATCTTGATTTTAAAAAGGTTTTCTTCTGTTTATAATTATAATACCTATTAAAAATTTAAAAGCACTTTAAAAATTAATTATGTGTTTTAAATTTTTTTATAAATCTTTTCTGAGGGTGACTAATTTAAGAGGATGATCAAATTTAATTAAATTTTGTAACGATGCATTTCTTCTGTTAATAGTTTTTAAATTAAACCATTTGTTTTTATGCAAACCTAGTTTTCAGAATGTTTTTAAATTTGATATGCATGCAATACAAATTTTTTACCCACTAAGCAGTTTGTAAAGAAATTTTACATATAGAATAAAAAGAAAAAATATGCTAACTGCTTTAATGATTATGAATTTATTATCTGGCATGTGATTCTGTCGCTGATTCGCAAATTTCCACGAATCTCAAGACCGTTGATTAAAGGAGTTCCGCTAATCAATAACTTATATTCTGACAAAATTTTCTTGGCAGCTAATCTATAATTTAAATTTCGTTGCGTATGCAACTTCTTATTAACGAGATATTTATTACGCCCTAAAAGCATCGTCTCTTTTTTTCTTCCCAAGTTCTTATTTACGCACATTAGCTCCTTTTATTTATTTACTTATTTTTTAAGCAGAATTGATTGAGAGAAACACAACTACGCATAAATTTTGTAAAACTGATAGTGGAAAAAAAATTCTTAAAAAATATACAGCTGAGTTTTGATTATTTTTCAATTACGACTAAACTTATTTCTATATATTCTATATAAAAAAAAAACATTAATTAATGATTTTTAGAAAAATTTTATTAGTCTGCCAACGGCTATTGTTTTGTCTGAATATTCAGCTAAATCACTATTTAGTACATCCCTAGTAGCAAATTCTGATTTCTAACGGATGAATTATATGGTTAATGGAAATTTCAAACCAACGCACGTTTCAAATCAATTTCACTTTAACACGCTCGATACCATTAATAAATCCGAGTTTTGATAGTTTTGCAGTTAATGCAATTGATTTTCTCGTGGTTTTTAAACTTCCAATATTATACCACTCAAAATTTGAATCGCACATTTGAGTAGTCACTTTTTTATGTGTTCGATACCATCGAAAATACATGTGATTCAATATTTCATCAACTACAATTTTTTTTTTTTTTTTAAAATCCCCATATTTTTTTATCCATTGTTATGACAGGCAAAATTCAATTTGTGCATTTATTAGTTACTTTTTGACGCAACAATATAACTTTTTCGATTGACTTTTTCACAGTTATTGCTACTGATTATTATATGTTTTTCTTAAACCCGATATTTTCACTCAATATTATTAAGAAACAGGAAATTCGAATCACATTCTTCAGTAATTACTTTTTGACATGCTCGATTCGGGCTAAATCCATGCGACGTTTAGACATACATATATATATATTTTAGTATATTTAGTATTCATTATATACACGTTGAGAAAAAAAATTCAGATAATTTATTTTATCTGCAATCACTTATCTGTTTTATTTTTGTTCTTGAGTTATATAATTCATGTAATCTTTAATATTTTTCAGGCTCGATTGGACATCTTGAAGATTCACTCTCGAAAGATGAATTTGACCAGGGGCATTAATCTCCGTAAAATAGCTGAAATGATGCCAGGAGCATCTGGGGCAGAAGTTAAAGGTGTTTGTACAGAAGCTGGAATGTATGCTCTTAGAGAAAGAAGGGTGCATGTTACACAGGAAGACTTTGAAATGGCAGTTGCTAAGGTACTTAGTTTTTATTATTCATTTGAATTGAATGTAATAGTGCAGATTAGTCTGTGTGTGTACTAATACTGTGTACAATTAAATGTAATTTATTGTTAGAAGACTACCTTAATGGTGACAAATGGCAACAATTAGATTTTCTTTGGCCATAACACCATAAATTAAATTTCTGTCCGAAAAGTTGTCTACAAGATTTTAACCTGACATTTTCAATTCCTATTAGGTATATGGTGTTAGGTAGGGTATATTTTTCCCTTTACACAATATAATATATGAAATATCAAGAGATTTGTAATTCAGATTAAAAACCTCTTAGAAAATAACCAAAATTTACTAAAAATCTAACTAAAAAAGTTCTAAACCAGGAATAATAAGTCTTAATTTTTTACTTTAACTCTTCTTACATGATTACTAATTTTGCCATTTCTGCTGGTACAACAATTTTAAATTAGAAAAAGCTTTTATTTATTGTAAGTTTTGACTGATATTATTAAAATGTAATGACAATTTTGATTTATTAGTATGAGTTTTTAAAATTTTTTCAAAGTTTGTAGTGGTTAATAATAAACGGTCTCTCATGTATTCTACAAAATGTTAGTGGTTATTTAAACCTAAGAGTTTGTTTTATATATGATTTGATATGTGGATGAACTATGACATATAACATACTCAGGTAGTATATAAGACTGATAATGATTTTATGTTCATATTGATACTTATGATTTTTAATTTTCAAGTCTTCAAGATTTTTTTAGTACTCTTTCTTCACCAATATTCTCATTTTCTTATCTGATGTCTTGCTGCTTGTTGCAAATATTAATAATAGTTGACTTGACAGTTGTGTTTCTAATTTAGTTTCTCATTTATACATTTTGAGTAGTTAGTGTTACATAAAAAATTATGTCCTGATTTAATCTTTTCTGTTATAAAAAAGTATTTTTTAAGAAATGAAATGTTTTTTTATTACTATCTTACTTCGTTTTAGTTTTTCTTGAATATTCATGTTGCAATATATTATTCCTTTGTGAAAGTGTTCAATTAATAAGAACTAATTACTGAACAAATAAGATCCAATTATTAAATTAGATATAAACTAATGACATCAGAAAATATTGGAAAAAAATTCATACTATTTTTCGTTATTTATAGATATTGATAAGTTTAATAAGCTATAAAAGCTGTTGCATTTGAATAGAAATAAACTAGATGGGTATAACATCGCTATTATAATTGACATCAGGCAATTTATTTATTTTAAAAAAAATCTACATCTTAAGATTATACATAAAATACTCTATAAAATATACCGTTTAAAAATTATACTAAATAAAAATAATTTTGCTGTTAATCATTGAGCTATTTTAATAATCAATTGATTCAAACCAATGATTATTTTTTTTTTTAAATGTGCTTTTGAGTGGAATTAATAACTTAATAATTGTATTTAAACTATTAATTGAAAATACTAGTATTTAAGCTTAAATAATTGTGGTGGAAACAATTATATCTATAACCAAACTTTTCCCTACAGTGGATTACAAAATTGACAAAAACTGTCATTAACTCTGTATTTTTTCTTTCTTTATGTATATATCTTTATGAATTATATTGACTTTACAAGAAAGTAATTTTAGTTTCTTTAGAGTGAAATAAATCACAATTTTTTTGACACAAAAAAATAAGTTTAATCAGTCAAATATCTTCCATTCTGTGTGGTGATCTTTTGCTATCTTTCTGTTAACTTCATGATCTTGCACTCATAGAATTTTTGGTCCTTACTTATCAGAAACAATTCTTTTACGATTTATGATCCTTAAAAGATTCCTTTACCATTTATGATCCCCTATATAGCCCCTTGCATCGTCTTATAAGCATTTATTTTAAAATTTACTAGACTTTTTAAAAGGAAAAAAATTTGCATTGTAACAATGACCTCAAATTGCATTCGGTCTAGTTTTTTGCTGATTAGGGCCAAAAGTTCTATGGGCATAGAATCATGAAGTTACCAGAAAGATAGTAAAAGGTAATCAAACAGAATAAGAGATATCTGATTTGTTAAAGTTTATTTTTTGTTTAGAAAAAATTAAATTTTGTTTGACCCTGAAAAATCTAAAATATTTTCCAACCAAATAATTAGGAATTTTATGTTTGAAATTACTGAAGTTAAAGTGGTATTTACTTTTAATAAAATATTATTCAATCATTTAGTGATTGATTTCACTAAGTGAATATATACATGAAAAAAAAGTTTCAGGCAATTGAATATAGAATATCATGAAATATTTCGTGTAGTAATAAGAAATTTTTATTAAATTATTATTTTAAAACATTTTATTTGGTCTCTAAATTTTTAGTTAAAAAATTTGAAAATGTAAATAGTTTACCAAAATTAGTAAATACAAAAATGCTGTAATTATGATTTTAGACTAAAAATGATAAGTAATCAGCTACATTTATATTCTATATTTTATTCAGCAGAACAAAGGATTAAATTTAAATAAAATCATTTGGTATTTATCATCATGTAATTCAATGTTGCAAACTACTACCCTGTGCCATTTTATTTTTTTTTATTTGAGGAAATTTCATTTTGCTTTTCTATAAAGAGTAAAACAGTCTTATCCAGTAACCTTCATATGTAATCATTGATATTTTTTTGATTCAAAGGCCATTAGCTTTTCAAAAGTGCGTCAAAGAACCAAATATTTTATCAAAAATTAAAGATTAGCCAATTGAGAGAGTTAAGAGTTTTGTCTTTCTTTTGAGCATGGCGAAAAGATTAATACATAAAATCTTTTTGAAATTTTCACCATCAACTAAAGTTCTATGTTCAAAGTATGTGTTCCTCATGTAACAAAGGAAAGATATTTGCCTAACCTTCAGTAATTTTGTTGACGAATTGTTTTGAAGTATTTATTATTAAATGTAGCCTTCTGCAAATAGCCAGTTGAATAGGAATTAAAATTGTTATAGAAGTTGAAATAGTTTTTTTTTTTTTGAAAGTTTTACAGTTAATGTCAAATTTCACTTGTAGAAATTTACACAAATGAGAATCAAGTCACTCATCTATCATTAAAAAAAAAGTCTGTTTAAAAATTTAGCAAAGTAGACTCAATATTTCTGTAAGATAATCTCAACATTTTCGTTTATATATTTTTTCTTTGTTTCAGGTCATGCAAAAGGATGCTGAGAAAAATATGTCCATCAAAAAGCTGTGGAAATAAATATTTGCATTGTGTACTGTATTTTCTGTTACTTAAAAGCTCATCATTAAACGAAACTACAAATATTGTGCAGTTCATGAACAGTTCACTTGTGTATGACAGTATCATTGCTGCTATGTTGTATTTATTTTAGTGATAACAATGTACTTTTTTGCTTCATTGTATATTAGTGGTTAGTTAAAACTAAGTTACTTTTTCCATACATTGTTTTCTAATACTTGGGAATGAATGAACTCTTAAAAATATGTTTAATAAAGTAATTCTATATTTCTTTTAGTTTTGTTGCTCATTATTCAGATGTGTTAATATGAGGCATTTATATCATAACTGATTTGATTCACAAAACGAATTTTAAAAATCATGAAGAAAAAAAACATTTCACTTTAACATTAAAGAACTTGCTTTGCAGGAGTGTTTTCATCTCCAAGTTTCAAATACATATGGATTGTGTTTTCAATACAAATGTAGAAAAAACAAATCTAGAGTTCCTTACCTTCATCACTTCCGGTTAGACAGCTGCTTACTAAATGCGAAGCGAGCTTTTCAAACAGATAGTTTTGATTTCATTAAAGGAGATAAATAATATAATTTCTGATCTTAAATCTGCTGCATTTCCTAAGATATTGATTCTGGTTAGTTTGAAGTGAAAATTTGTTTTAGTTATTTATAGATGTATTGTGAAAAAAGGCAACATGGTTGCTTTAGAAAGAACTCGCTTTTTTATTTCTATTTGTCCATATTACAAACAATGCACCATGCATATGTTAATGATAGTATTTTTAAGTTGCTTACAACAGTAAGACAAAACTTATTTTGCAAATTATGATTTGAGTTTCAACATAGTCATCCGTGTTCCCATAACAAATTATACCTCGGGGGTATTGGATTGGAGATTGATCGTTCTCTGGTTCAGGTCAAAATTCGATCTGTAAACAAATGTGCAAGGCTCGTACAGACTCCTTATACTCCTTGGAAATAAAAAGGTCTCCAAGGAGTACTAGGAACTACTTAGATTTCCAAATTAGTCCTTTGAAATTCCTTAGATTATTGTGTTGCATAGATGAACTTACTAAGTACGCTGATTAATTTGCTGTCCAAGCAATGGAATGAAATGATGACTTAGTTGTCAAAATCTAATAGTTTAAGAAAAAAAAATTGAATTGGAAGAGTTAGAAGAAAAAAATAACAGCAAATAATTTTACATGTTACAAGCAAACTTAATTAATGATTTACTGTTTCTTTTTCTTTGTATAAATGCCTTAGATTTTATGTATTCAAATTTTAAAATATAAGATTGGTAGGTTTTTATGTTAATCTCTAACATCTGTACTATGTGCTTTAACAAGATTTATTGAAATATTTGAAGCTGGAAAATGATAACTTTATTTATTTTTCTTGATGAAGTTTGACAAAGTCAAAATTTATTTCAGAAAGGCTAGAAAAAAATATCTTATGCAAAATATACATTTTTGCAAGTTCTTTATAGTAACTGCTTTTTGATTTTAAAGAAAAAACTGTCTGGTTATCTTTTACGCAACATTTTTAAATTTTGGACTCCTTGGATTTCTGATCTCTGTATGAACCCTGCAAATGTGGCACCACTGGAAAACAAGAACAATCACATTCATTGCCTAAATGGCTTACGACAAGAACAACAGTACGCATGAGGCTGGGAAAGGGACCTTTTAATCAAAAAGGTTGTACACCCATATCTAGAATCTAAGCATGTTATTATAGACAACTAGCCAGAAAACTTATTCAATATTATATTAATATAAACTGTCTATCCCATTTTTTTCCTTCAATTTTGCTAATTAAACATGTATTTACTAATTACACATAATTTATATTTGCTAATGGAACATATTAATTTAATTTTTATGTAATCTAACCTTATTAACATGTTACCGCAAATAGCGGCTATAGCCATCAAATTTTGTTAATATGTCGACAAATAACAGCTATAACCATCCTGCACTTTTGAATTAGGTAATAAAAAAATGAATATCATTAGTATGAAGTATACTTATTCATTCATTTGTTAATTATATAGTAATACATCAACCAAAAGATGTAATATTAAAGACAGCATATAAGTAGTTTTTTTTGTTATTTTTTTTGTATGGGATCAAAATGCCATGATGAGTAAATGATGGTTACAGTCATCAAAAGTTTTCATGGAAAACTGTGACAAAATGAGATAATTTTCGCTTCCAAACGTACGAGTGACATTAAATTTTATATGGTAGTGAAAACAATAGGAAAAAAATGTGTTTCTGAGCATGATCATCAAATTTGAAGTGTGCCGCAGCGTGTTAATTATATTGCGAACCTAAAATTATTTTAAATCTTTTTTGAATGCCCTACAGTCTAATTAACACAGGGAGGCTATGGAACAGAAAATTTTATCAATCTAGAAATGTCCGAGAATTGCCTACTAAAAAGTCAGAGGAAAAGAAATTATTTTGAGTTGGATGTAAATTAAAATAACTATTTAAAAAAAAAATTTTTTAAACTGTTAAATTTATTTTTGAAATAAAGATTCCATTTTTTATTTCACTGTGAAAGAATCTTGTCTTCCTTGATTGTAACATTTTGTCCATGGTGAATAGAGAGTTAAAAGTTTCAAAATTTTATAAAAACTAAATGAGTAATTAGAATTTTGAAAAACGTAGCAAAAAATCGCCTTTAACTTTCAAGTGTGAATATTTTTTTGACAAAAAAAAAAAAGTGTTTTTACTTGAAAATTGATAAACATCTTTGCAATACTAAATTAAATTTTTATTTTAAAGAGTACTTATTAGTTAATGAATTATTACTGATCATCTAAAAAGCTAGAACACCCTTCTCTTTAAGCTTTTCTTGCCCACATTGGGAATTTATGTAGGGGAGAGGGGGGCACATGTGAACAAATTTTTTTATTTCTTCACTTTTCGAAAAATATCATCAATTTTTCATAGTAAAAAAGTCCATATGTTTAAATAGTCTTTTCTTTGTCTCGTGGAATTTTTTGAGATTTTTCAATAAAATATTTCTTTACTTTATAATATTTTAGAAAAATGACTTCAATTGTTCACATGTGCCCCTATTGGGGGCACATATGAACAAGATTAAAAACACAAAGCAATCATCATATTTCAAAGAAAATAAATCTTTAATATAACAGATATAGATACGCATTATACTCAGGGGGTTGTCGCTTACTATGTGAATTTAAATTGTACAACAGTACTGTCAATAAGAAAATAATTTTTCAGCTGTACAATAATTTTTCCGTAATTGGGTTTTTTGCAACTTTATGTTCCACGGGTGTTGTAATGGGCCTTTTTCTTTCTTCTCTAATACTCTTTCATGCTTTTTTTTTCATTTTTTCTATCTTTTCATTTTTAGCTTTAGCAATTCTATCTTCTCAGTTAATATGCGTGATGCGCGATCAACCATTTAATAAAAAAAATAAATTTTTTTTGAAGGAAAAATTAATAAATTAATTATGGAAAATTAAATAATGATAATTTTAAATGCATACATATTTTTTAAACTTATAATATCATGAGGATAATAATCTTAATACTATGTAGGGGCACTTGTGAACTGTTCACATCTGCCCCAGAGCTACTTTCTTTCTTTTTTTTCCTT